TATACTATATATATATATATATATATATATATATATATATGCATACATATGTGATGTGATCTAGGAAAACTCACACTGGGACGTTTTCAGGAAATAGGTTGAATGTAAATTTTTGGTAAAAAAAAATTGGGTGTCATTAAATTATTATTCTATAACATCTTGTCTATCATCTCTGAAATTATCTTGCCAAAATTCACTTGTTTAGTGCTGAAAATTTTTTATTTATTGATTTATTGAAAAAAGATTTATTGTAGCAAGCAGAAAAGACTGTCTTTCTCTAGTTTGCTAACACGCGCTGCGGAGGTGCTTTCCCTTAACACTTAACACTACAGACAGTTCACCTATCAAAATAAACTATGTAGCGTATATAATAAAGGTGCATCAATGCATATTTCCCGCTAGTCCTGTGTGAACTACAGCATGCAAAGTTCAGGGAAACGTTAGTCTGCTTGTTTAATGATGCATTATAGCGCTCCTGACAGAGCTCTCACTCTTAAAGGGACCAGCACCATTTTCATATTAACGCTATGCATTACTTTCATTTAGTTGTGACAGCGTGAAATAAAACTACAAGTTTAGAACACAAAACTTTTGTTAGGTTCAAGCTATAAACGAAATAATAGCTGTTTTGGAAATAGCTTGAACCCAGTTTTATATGGTATCAAAACCTATACTAGGTAAAATTTCACCATGTGGTGGGTTTTCCTAGATTGCATCATATATATATTTGAAATTTAAAAAAAAATGTTTTACTACCCTAGTGAAAAATAAATATACTTAAATGTATTTGAAATACATTTATTTCATGCTAAGTATACTACAAATACATTTTTATATTTATGTACTTAATAAAATGCCCTGCAGTTTTAGTACACTAAACTAGTATACTTCAAGTCTGCTAAATTGGAACAACTAATTTTGTACTTAATGCACTTTAATCGTGTGGAAGTAGTGCTAAAGTGCAATTAAAGACATACTTAGTATATTTGATTGTGCTAAAGTGGAACTATTGTAGGTACACTTTAAATATTTTGCATTTAAAGGGCAATATTTTTCAAAGATCATACAATCCTCATCAAAAGTGACATTAAAACACATTTTAGGCTTATTAATAAGAAAGGTGCATTGTGCACAAGTAATCCTCCAAATAAATTTTCATCAAAAGTTTTATATCACTAGGTCTCGAGTTATCTGTCAGATAGATTTGAACTATACTTAGTATGAAATAAATGTATTTTAAATATATTACTTTTTACTAGGGTATATAGACATATTTATATAAAAAAAACTATAAAAAAACTAATGGTAATAAAATTGACAAAAAAAATCACAAAAAAATGCTCAAACTTAATTAAAATGAAAACAGAAAATATAAAAATAAAAACAAATGAATAATATTAATACAAAATGTGTATAGTTTTTATTAATGTTTATTTCGTTTCATTTTGCGTAAATTTATTTGATTGTATTAGTAATAGTTAATTTAGTACATCAAGTTAAACTAAATAAAAATTAGAAATTTTGCCTTGACACCAAACTGAAATAAATTTTATTTCAGTTAACATTTATTTTATGAAATAATAATGAAACAGTTTTGTAATGGTTTTGGTTTTAGTTTAATGATAATAACTCTGATCCCAAGCAATACTATGTGTTTGGCTGTATTATATAAATTTGCTTCATCCGCTCTTACTAAACAACAATAATTCCCTAAATATTAGGGCTGGGTTTTGACACAAATTTCACGATTCGATTTGATTCTCATTCACAAGCTTGCGATTCGATTCAATATCGATTATTTTGGATATGTATCAGGTACAGTACATGCCAAATTTCCTCAAGGAAAAAAAAATCTCTCAACTAATGCTGTAAAATGTACATGAGTCATTTGGTACTACATTACTATAATATTGAAGATTAAAACGGACTGATTTGCAAGCTACACAACTGCTAAAACTACACTTAATAAAGTTACAATTATATAATGATATTTCTACTTCAATTCGTTTTTTTATAAATAGGCTATAAACATTTAAATGGTGGCTGTCATAAAACTTGATGGATTTATTCAAACATAAGTTAAACATAGTAAAAAATTATAATGAATATGTTATATGGTGCATATATTTAGCAAAATGCCCCTCTTTACAGTTTATTTTTCTAGCTGACTAATGAGTCACCGAATATGTTTTTCTGAGGTAAATGTGACGTTACGTGACATTGTTTAAAAGCCGTTATATTGAGGTCTTTGCGCTGCTGAAACACTGATTGAGCGATTACATGAGACAGGGTACGGATTGTAAAGTTGTACTCTTTCTTTTAACTTGCCTTCGGATGTTTAGTCATGTTTATTTTGTGCTATAACTAGTAATAAAGCGGAGGAGATGATCAGTTCACTGAGGCGCTACAGCAATCTGTCACTTCACATTAAACAGCGCCAAAATGGCATTAATTGTCTGAATACTGCAATACAATTGACAGAATTTGAAATCTGAGACTTTGCTTCATATTAAAAGTACCAAAGCACAATGCTTATTGCGATATATTGGGTGGGAAGTGCCCTTCAATGTTGCATCCATTAACAGAAAACTGACTAGAATAATCGATTCTTGGGATTTAAGAATCGATATCGTTCCGTAAAAATGAGAATCGATTAAAATTGAGATATTGATATTTTTTACCCAGCCCTACTAAATATCACATCTTTTCCGACTCCCCAGGCAAGCCTCAGAGGATGAACGGGAAGGTCAATGGCAGGATCTACGTCGGTGATTCTCCGTCTCCTGTGGAGTTTTCTAACAATGACCTGCACTCGTATGTGGTGACTAACGACGGCCGGGCGTATATCGCCATCAGCAGCATCCCATCCAGCGTCGGCCCGTCTCTGCAGCCCCTGTCGGCTCTGGGCGAAACCATCGGCTGGGCCTTTGCTCTGGAGCAGCCCGACTACCAGAACGGCTTCAGCATCATCGGTGAGACCTGATCAGTAACTATTTATAATTATCTATTTTAAAGACATTTTTGACTTATGTTCATACAGTTACCTCTTTGTCTCTTAAAAAAACAATTTCCAACCATGATGCAATATTATCATAAAATTAGGTTTTGCTTCCAGCTACTGCTTTGTCATTATTATTATTATTATTATATTAACTTTATATTAACATTAATCATTAATGATTTTTAATATTTAATAATATTTGTTATATTATTGATTTGTTAATAATAATAACTTAATTTAACAATATTACTAACATTATTACCATTAATCATTTTAATTATTATTAGATTAATATTATTAACTTAATATTAAGTATTAACTTAATATTAACAATATTATTAATATTGTTACCATTAATAATTTGAATAATTAATAATATTCATGAAATTGTTCCTTCTTCTTCTTCTTCTTCTTCTTAGGTTAATAATATTAGCTAAATATTAACGATATTAATAATTTATAATACTTAATTTTTACTATTATTATTATTATTGTTGTTGTTGTTTGGTTAATAATATTATTTTATATTTATATTAATAATATTATTGTAATTATTAATACTAATTAATAATATTATTAAGTTAATTAATAATAATACGTTATTATTATTTATTATTTTTGTTAGGTTAACATACATTTGATTTCCAGCTTTGGTATTTATATCATTATGAAATCTCAAAACCTGCCTTCAGCTACTTGCCTGTCAAAGCATAAAATTAATTAATTAAATGTATTAATATTTGAGCCCTATTAATATGATGTTCAAAACATTTATTAATATTTATTACTGTTAAAGATTGTTTAAATAGTAATATTCTTTGGCAATCACCAACACGTGAGACATGTTTATGTAACCTTAAAATAACGTTATAAGTGCTACAAGAAAACTGGACATTTCAACATTCTTCGAATATTAAAAAAACGTTCAAGTAACATTTTATTTTGGGTGAAAATAAAGTTAGAACGTTGTAAGGAATGTTTTAGGAACATTTAAATAACATTATAATGACGACAAGAAATCTGGACATGTTTCCATCCAAAGATGCGCAAAACTGGAATATCGCATAAAACATTTGCGAATAAAGCACCGTTTCCATCCAACGATTCAAAGAGAACAAAATCGTCACTTCCTGGTAAACTGCCACTAAATATCTCTAAGAAAACTAGGAGAAGTCACTGAATATAATAATTTACTTCCATATATAATAAATTACTTGCTTCACTTGATGCTAGTACTTGTAATAATTTTCGAACCATCTCAAATCTTCCTTTTATTACCAAAGCACTGGAGAAAACGGTGTTTATTCAGCTACAGTCTTTCCTTAGTGCAAATCAGATTTTTGAAACTTTCCAGTCTGGTTTTAAGCCTCTGCATAGCACAGAGTCTGCTTTATTATGGGTCTTTAATGATACTTTGTTAGCGACTGACTCTGGTGACTCTGTTATCTTAATTCTGTTAGACTTAACCTCTGCTTTTGATACAGTTGATCATAAAATTCTTCTATATCGACTAGAATATTTTGTGGGCATCCAGGGAACTGTTCTTAGCTGGTTCAAATCATATTTAACCAATAGAAGTTTCTCTGTCAGATTGGGTAATTTTTCTTCGTTGCTGCTAAACTTTCCTGTGGAGTGCCACAGGGTTCTATTCTCGCACCCATTCTTTTTTCTTTGTATTTACTTCCTTTGGGCTCTATTTTCAGAAAGCATAGTGTATCATTTCACTGCTATGTTGATGATACCCAAATTTATTTACCTCTGATATTTTTCTAGCTGACTAATGAGTCACCGAATATGTTTTTCTGAGGTAAATGTGACGTTACGTGACATTGTTTACAAGCCGTTATATTGAGGTCTTTGCGCTGCTGAAACACTGATTGAGCGATTACATGAGACAGGGTACGGATTGTAAAGTTGTACTCTTTCTTTTAACTTGCCTTCGGATGTTTAGTCATGGTTATTTTGTGCTATAACTAGTAATAAAGCGGAGGAGGTCTGAATACTGCAATACAATTGACAGAATTTGAAATCTGAGACTTTGCTTCATATTAAAAGTACCAAAGCACAATGCTTATTGCGATATATTGGGTGGGAAGTGCCCTTCAATGTTGCATCCATTAACAGAAAACTGACTAGAATAATCGATTCTTGGGATTTAAGAATCGATATCGTTCCGTGTGGGAAGTGCCCTTCAATGTTGCATCCATTAACAGAAAACTGACTAGAATAATCGATTCTTGGGATTTAAGAATCGATATCGTTCCGTAAAAATGAGAATCGATTAAAATTGAGATATTGATATTTTTTACCCAGCCCTACTAAATATCACATCTTTTCCGACTCCCCAGGCAAGCCTCAGAGGATGAACGGGAAGGTCAATGGCAGGATCTACGTCGGTGATTCTCCGTCTCCTGTGGAGTTTTCTAACAATGACCTGCACTCGTATGTGGTGACTAACGACGGCCGGGCGTATATCGCCATCAGCAGCATCCCATCCAGCGTCGGCCCGTCTCTGCAGCCCCTGTCGGCTCTGGGCGAAACCATCGGCTGGGCCTTTGCTCTGGAGCAGCCCGACTACCAGAACGGCTTCAGCATCATCGGTGAGACCTGATCAGTAACTATTTATAATTATCTATTTTAAAGACATTTTTGACTTATGTTCATACAGTTACCTCTTTGTCTCTTAAAAAAACAATTTCCAACCATGATGCAATATTATCATAAAATTAGGTTTTGCTTCCAGCTACTGCTTTGTCATTATTATTATTATTATTATATTAACTTTATATTAACATTAATCATTAATGATTTTTAATATTTAATAATATTTGTTATATTATTGATTTGTTAATAATAATAACTTAATTTAACAATATTACTAACATTATTACCATTAATCATTTTAATTATTATTAGATTAATATTATTAACTTAATATTAAGTATTAACTTAATATTAACAATATTATTAATATTGTTACCATTAATAATTTGAATAATTAATAATATTCATGAAATTGTTCCTTCTTCTTCTTCTTCTTCTTCTTAGGTTAATAACCGTTGCTAAATATTAACGATATTAATAATTTATAATACTTAATTTTTACTATTATTATTATTATTGTTGTTGTTGTTTGGTTAATAATATTATTTTATATTTATATTAATAATATTATTGTAATTATTAATACTAATTAATAATATTATTAAGTTAATTAATAATAATACGTTATTATTATTTATTATTTTTGTTAGGTTAACATACATTTGATTTCCAGCTTTGGTATTTATATCATTATGAAATCTCAAAACCTGCCTTCAGCTACTTGCCTGTCAAAGCATAAAATTAATTAATTAAATGTATTAATATTTGAGCCCTATTAATATGATGTTCAAAACATTTATTAATATTTATTACTGTTAAAGATTGTTTAAATAGTAATATTCTTTGGCAATCACCAACACGTGAGACATGTTTATGTAACCTTAAAATAACGTTATAAGTGCTACAAGAAAACTGGACATTTCAACATTCTTCGAATATTAAAAAAACGTTCAAGTAACATTTTATTTTGGGTGAAAATAAAGTTAGAACGTTGTAAGGAATGTTTTAGGAACATTTAAATAACATTATAATGACGACAAGAAATCTGGACATGTTTCCATCCAAAGATGCGCAAAACTGGAATATCGCATAAAACATTTGCGAATAAAGCACCGTTTCCATCCAACGATTCAAAGAGAACAAAATCGTCACTTCCTGGTAAACTGCCACTAAATATCTCTAAGAAAACTAGGAGAAGTCACTGAATATAATAATTTACTTCCATATATAATAAATTACTTGCTTCACTTGATGCTAGTACTTGTAATAATTTTCGAACCATCTCAAATCTTCCTTTTATTACCAAAGCACTGGAGAAAACGGTGTTTATTCAGCTACAGTCTTTCCTTAGTGCAAATCAGATTTTTGAAACTTTCCAGTCTGGTTTTAAGCCTCTGCATAGCACAGAGTCTGCTTTATTATGGGTCTTTAATGATACTTTGTTAGCGACTGACTCTGGTGACTCTGTTATCTTAATTCTGTTAGACTTAACCTCTGCTTTTGATACAGTTGATCATAAAATTCTTCTATATCGACTAGAATATTTTGTGGGCATCCAGGGAACTGTTCTTAGCTGGTTCAAATCATATTTAACCAATAGAAGTTTCTCTGTCAGATTGGGTAATTTTTCTTCGTCGCTGCTAAACTTTCCTGTGGAGTGCCACAGGGTTCTATTCTCGCACCCATTCTTTTTTCTTTGTATTTACTTCCTTTGGGCTCTATTTTCAGAAAGCATAGTGTATCATTTCACTGCTATGTTGATGATACCCAAATTTATTTACCTCTGAAACAAAATAAACATGCTGCTCTGGAATCTCTTTTTGCATGCCTTGGTGAAGTGAAAATGTGGTTCTCTCAAAATTAATTTTTTCTGAATGAATCAAAAAGTCGAGGTTATAGTCTTTGGCCACAGTGAAAAAAACAAACTTGAAACTTGCGCCTCAGAGAGAGCAGACGTTACACAATAAATGCAGTCCTTGCTTTTAGAGGTGGATGCCTGCTGTTTGGGAACGCAGTTGTGTAAGACAGTAATTATACAGAAATACTTTGATGACAGACTTTCCTCAGGCATTTCAGAACGACCAAAACAACATATAGATGCTGTGAACGAGATCGGTCTGCTGCTAGTCAAATTATCCCGTCTCATATTTTTTCTGAATGAATCAAAAAGTCGAGGTTATAGTCTTTGGCCACAGTGAAAAAAACAAACTTGAAACTTGCGCCTCAGAGAGAGCAGATGTTACACAATAAATGCAGTCCTTGCTTTTAGAGGTGGATGCCTGCTGTTTGGGAACGCAGTTGTGTAAGACAGTAATTATACAGAAATACTTTGATGACAGACTTTCCTCAGGCATTTCAGAACGACCAAAACAACATATAGATGCTGTGAACGAGATCGGTCTGCTGCTAGTCAAATTATCCCGTCTCATAGCGCAAAGTCACATGACTTTCAATGCGCATGGTGGAATAAAAAAAAAATTTGGTGGAAAAAGTTTATCCTACTCAGTTGTGCGCATATGTTTTTAATGCGCATTTTTAGAATTTATGCGCATCTTGGCGTTTCCATCCAGCGTTTTTTATGTGATATTCCAAAATGTGCATAAAAATAGGTGGATGGAAACATAGCTAATGTTTTAGAAACAGTTCAAAACAATGTTCCCGCACCTTTTTTCTAACTTAAACTTTGTGGCCTGGGTCTCGGTCTCCGCAGGAGGGGTTTTCACGCGACAGGCCGAGGTCATCTTCCAGCCCGGGAACGAGCGGCTGAGCATCAGGCAGGAGTTCGGCGGCATCGATGAACACGATCATCTGCTGATCAGCACCGAACTGGACGGCAGGATCCCAGAGGTGCCTCAAGGAGCCACGGTCCAGATCGAGCCCTACAGCGAGATTTACCAGCACTCCAGCAACCGTGAGTCAACTTCTCAGATTCATGAGACCTGACAGTCAGAAATATCATCATCTCAAGCTCGCAAATGACCGAGCAAAGTTGTTTTTTCCAGTAACAAACTCTGGATTCTCTATGACACCTGGGTTGTGACATTCGAAGCAACTCTGCAGTCAATTAAGTGAATGTAATTCTGTTATTTTTAAGGAATATTGGAATATGTTATGAAATGAAATTAGATTAACACAAGATTTAAGTTATTTTATAGTAATGTGAACAGTTGTTTTTAAAAGAATCCAGAATTGTACTCATGTTTTAGTAATTTACACCTAATCAGACATGCGCTTTCAATTTTAAACAGGCATTTAATTTTATTTTATTTAATTTTATTTAATTTTATTTAATTTTATTTAATTTAATTTTATTTTATTTTATTTTATTTTATTTTATTTTATTTTATTTTATTTTATTTTATTTTATTTTATTTTATTTTATTTTATTTTATTTTATTTAGGAAAAGTCTATATAGGAATCAGAGAAACAAATTCACCTGTTCAATATCATTAAGATATTATTATAGTTTTCAAAATTATTTTGAATTAGTTTTTTATTTTTAGATTTTCTGTTTCCATTTAATTTTTAATTTTTTTCTTTTATTTATTAATTTTTTTAGACTTATTAGTTTTGTTGTTTAGTTTTTTAATGTTTATATAGTTGTTAATAATTTTTCTCTCAGTTTTATTTTTATTTATTTTTGTACATAAAGTTAACTAAATGAAAATTAGAAATTTTGCCTTGGTAATTGGCTGAAATAAAATGTTACATTTTATATATTTTATTTTATTTCAGTTGAAATCTTTTTTATAATTGATTTTATTATTATTATTATTATTATTATTATTTTAGTTGTGATTGTACATCAATTAAGTGCTGTAATTCAGTCATTTTTAAGGTGTTCTATAGCCAATGTAAAGCTAATAACTCAACCTTTGGGGTTTGCTTTGTGTAAATTAATAAAAATTACAGCATTCTAAAAACGAGACGCTCAAGTTTAAAGAAGTTACATTTTAAAATAGATTCTGAAATGTGTATATATACATATATAAAAGTAGATTGTGAAAATGTTTACATTTTCAAAAATGCTTTTTTCCCCATTCAACTGCTGTTGTCTCCAATTTTTAAAAATACAAAATGGCATTCTGTGTTAACAGCCCCTGCAGCAGCATGCATTTATTATATTAACAACAGAAATTGAAGCCAAGCAGCTTCCTATGCTCACTTAAAAAAACCTTTTAATCTAAAGCTGAAACATATGAACACATGAGCTTGTGCGGTTTAATGGCACAAACATTTGTAACCTCTAGCCCCTCTTTGAGTATTGCAGTTTGTTACCCATGCACGTTAAGTATGTTGCATTTGCCTTTATGTCTATAGCATGCTGTCTATATCAGTCCTCAGTCTTCTCTGCGATGTTCACAGTGATCACGTCCTCGTCGCGGCGGGATTACACCGTTAGCATGCCGGACGGAAGCGTTCACACACACAGCTACCTGTGGACACAGAGCATCAAGTTCCAGAGCTGCCCTCACGAGGAGGTCCTGAGCGCTGTGCCGGCGAGCCAACAGCTCAGCGTCGACCAGATCTTCGTCATGTACGACTCCAGCAACCAGCTGATCCGCTTCGCCATGAGCAACAAGATCGGCTCCATCCACAGTAAGAAAACCTAGAACTACAGCAGACACGTGAACATTCACCGCTTAGTGCTAAAACACACGACACAGTCACTAAACACTGGGTTCTGTCATATATACAGTATATGTTGGATAATGACTCATGCACTAAAAGTTTGGGGTCGGTAAGATTTCCTAATGTTTTTGAAAGAAGTCTCTTCTGCTCACCAAGGCTGCATTTATTTGATCAAAATGCTGAAAAAAATGTGAAATATTATTATAATTTAAAATAACTGTTTTCTATGTGAATATATGTTAAACTGTAATTTATTCCTGTGATGCAAAGCTGGATTTTCAGCATCATTACTCTAGTCTTCAGTGTCACACCATTATTTATTTATTTTAATTGCACATTTCCATGATTTTATTATTTTTTAGTAAGTATTTTATTATTTTAAAATCATTCACTGTAATTCTATATTTTATTGGTTTTTATTTAGCTATTATTTAAATTCTAAATTTTTTTTATTTTACAAATATATAGTTTTATTATTTTTTTTAATAAGCATTTTATTTTTATTGTTATTACTTTAAAATAATTTATTTTAACTGGACATTGTATGGGTTTTTATTTAGCTATTATTTAAATTATAAATTATTTTTAATTTTACAAATTTATAGTTTTTTAGTAAGCATTTTATTTTGTCTATTATTTTAAAATTATTTATTTAAATGTTAAATTATTTAAATGGTTTTTTTATGATTTTGATTAATTATCTTCCTTTCGAAATCAGTATAATATGCTGATCTGCTGCTCGAGAAACATTTCTGGTGATTAGTAAAGACTTACATTGTTAGAAAAAATTATTATATTTCAAATAAATGTTGTTCTTTCTAACATTTTATTCATTAAAGAATCCTGAAAAAAAGTATCACAGGTTCCCAAAAAAAATATTAGGGAGCACAGCTGTTCACAACAATAAATAAATCATAATTTCAATAACAATGCATATTTTTAAAGGCCGTTTTCTCAAAATTAGTTTTTTCTCCCACACCGAGCCATAAATCACCACTTCAGTAGCACTTTAGTACAGTAGTACTAAATAAAAGTTTATTTCCGCTGGATTCATTGGCGACGGACGGGTTTGTTACGGTAATGATCCTCGTTCACAGATTGTCAGTGTTGGGAAGGTTACTTTGGAAATGTAACAGGTTACAGATTACAAGTTACTGTACACGGCAGGCAAAAGCACTGTTTTTGTCAATTTTGAGATTTTGGGCTTTTTGGCATTTCATAAAGTGTTTTTTCAGACTAGTGGAAAGAAAACATCCAAAAGACACTGTTTTATAGCACTTTATCTATTTGTGTCAATATATTTCAATAACAATGCATATTTTTAAAGGCCGTTTTCTCAAAATTAGTTTTTTCTCCCACACCGAGCCATAAATCACCACTTCAGTAGCACTTTAGTACAGTAGTACTAAATAAAAGTTTATTTATTCAACTTTCAGATGATGCATAAATCTCAATTTCGAAATATTGACACTTAAAAGCACAATATGTAAGTTTTTTATTAAAATATCCAAAAACCACTAGAACAGTGTTATATATTTTGCTGACTTGTGTACTTACATTATCCCAAGTGTTTCGAAGAATGTTTAAATCCAGAGAAATAAGCAATTTTAACTAGTGACACGGAGCATGTCCATAGTGTCATTGTGTCGCCTGCCAATGACGTCAGAACCCCTCGATTTCCGGTTTTGTTTTGTAGAAAACATGGAAACACCAAAGACGCTTTAATATGTTGTGCGTTTTA